TCCCACGGGGCTGAAACGTGTTGAACACAAATGCAAATACAAAATGCTGGCATTATCAGCAATATCATGGCCAGCTCCTGGTTCTGGAGGACCCCGAGCGGACAGTGCCCAGGGTCCCCCATCTGCCCACCACCAGGGCCCTGCTTGTGCCCTCTTTTCCACCCCACCTGCACGCCCCCCCCACCTTGCTGCTCAGCTGTCTGCTGCTTGCATGCCCTCTCACCGTCCATACCCAGTTTCCTGCACCACCTGCATACCTTTTCTCTGACAGCACTGGCCAATGTATGCAGATGGGAGCGCCGCTGAACGCATGAACCTGCCTTATACTAAATCAGACCCTTGCTCCTTCAAAGTCAGTATTGTCTACTCAGACTGGCAGCAACTCTCCAGGATCTCAGGTGGCGGTTTTACACATCACCTTCTTCCAGATCTTTTTAACTGGAGATGCCGGGGATTGAACCTGGGACCTTCTGCATGCCAAGCAGAGGCTCTTCCACCAAGCCGCTCCCCCTCCCAGTTGCTACTACCAACATGAATACAACCACTGTGCACCACCCAAACACCTTTGTTCAATCACTCTGGGCAGTTGGGAGTACAGGTAAGACAGGTGGAAGGGGAGACGGGTGGGTGGGGGTCAGCAGTAGTAGGCCCCACCAGAAGCCCGGGGTCCAGGCCAATGCTCCCTCTAAGCTGTGGAGTCTCGTGAGCAAAAATTCTACATTGTGAGCTACTGGCAATAAAGTTGTGAGTGAGCCATTTGGCTGCTGCATAAATCAGTTTGCTCAGGAGCCGTCCTTCCTGAGCTGAGACAAAAACGCGTGAGCCGGAGTCTAAAAAATGGTGAGCTAGCTCACACTAACTCAGCTTAGAGGGAACACTGGCCCTGGCAGCCTGCCCCACCTCAGGGTATGCCGATGCTGGCCCTGAGATATAGTTATCCTTCTTCAGCACAAACTGAAGACATTTAATTTCTTCTAAAGAGAATTCAGATTGCGGACGGTGCGCCAAGCCAGAAAAAGGAAAGAAAGAAGAAAGGGAGGAGGGAAGAGAACAATAATTTGCTTTTCCAGGTTCTGTGTTTCTTAAAAGATAAATAGCAAAGGGATCACAAGGAAAGATTATGCCTGAAAGGAAGCTGTTTTAAAAGGAAGCTGCATATTGTGCAACAACTTGCCGCCTGGTCATGAATAAGCAAAAAAGGGAACAAAACACACACACACACATATGGAAGCAGCACGTATTACTTCTAGCCTGAGGGTTTTATGCAGGAGAAACAAGCAGGCCGATTCAGTTCAGCACGAACACAAGGCTGTATTGCAAGCATCTTGAAACTGCAAAGGAGAACAGGAGTGGAAACCAGGTAAAGGATGAAGGATGTTTGCCGGCCTAGAACATTCCTGAAGATTTGGGGGCGGAGCCTGGGAAAGGCAGGGTTTGGGGAAGGGAAGGACTTCAGCAGGGTATAATGCCACAGAGTCCAGCCTGTAAAGTTGCCATTTCCTCCAGAGGAACTGATCTCTAGTCTGGAGAGTAGTTCTAATTCTGGGAGATCTTTAAGCACCACCTGGAAGCTGGCAACCCTAGGAGCAAGATATTACATCCCAACAAAACAGTTTAGCTTTGAGTCACAGTTTAATTTCAGAAAGGTTTTAAAAACCTGAATCCTGTGCATGTCCCTGAGCAGTGTTCCCTCTAAGCTGAGTTTGTGTGAGCTAGCTCACTGTTTTTTAGCCCAACTGGAAGCTGGTAACCCTAGGAGCAAGATATTACATCCCAACAAAACAGTTTAGCTTTGAGTCACAGTTTAATTTCAGAAAGGTTTTAAAAACCTGAATCCTGTGCATGTCACTGAGTTGAATTTTAAATGTCGCAATGCAGAGCCAACTGTCAAACTGTTGTAATCAGGAGCAAAAACTTTAAAAAATGTTTAGGGTCACTGTAAGTCACAAGTGACTTGATGGTACTTAGCACACACACACAGAGAGAGAGGCCACGGCCTTGCATGTTTAGGGGCGGAGGGCATGCACACATTTTTTCCCCTGAGACAGATGCATTCAGTCAGCAGGGGCCCCGGTCACACGAAAGGTTTTGGGCCGGGAGAGGGACGGATCGGGGGCGCAGCAAACGGGCGCGATCCCACCGCAACATCTGGGAAACGTTGCGCACCCGTCCTCGATCCGGCCCTTC